TTCTCAGCCATAATCCATCTGTCCTAAATAGCTTGTATGTAATGGCTATTTCGAGACAGTTCATACAAGATGCATATCTACTAACAAAGATAGATCAAAGTTCATTCTGTATTATCAATTCAAACACTTATTTCTATTCATCTGTTCACCAAACAATGTTGATAAGATTTATGAATATCTACCACATACACAAAGCAAAACAGTTATCAAATATACTAAATCTCCTTATTACTTCTCATTATATTATTTCCCTTAGGAAAATTTGTTTTAATGATCAGTTATTTGTTAAATTAATAATTTCATAGTTGAATCCATGAGTCAATTAAAACTAGACCACAATGAATAACCTGGAAACACTGGACAACTTAGAGGTTAAGCATTCGCACATGAGACCAATAGGTCCTGAATTCGAATCCCATGGACGAGATCATGGATATACACTACTAAGGAGTCTCATACTACGATAAAATGACCATCCAATACTTTCAGGCTTTTCATTATGATCTAACTTTAATTAACTCATGAACTCAATTATTAAATGACTAAAATCTCTATACGCCCTCCCCCCCCAATTCTGAAAATAAATCATCGATATTTGAAAAAATGTTATATAATTGATCTATATACTTTATATTTTATTCAACTCATATTATTAACAACACAGATTAGTAACTAACACATTCCTTATTCAATGAATCAATCAATTGTAACAATATTGAAATGTTACTCTTTATGCTTTTTTTTCTTCACTATTTTTATCATTGATACAATAAAAAAGTTTATGTGAATTGAAACAAATGAGAAATGTGAAATATGGTTTTATTTAAATGACCATTTCTCTCTCTATAAGAAATGAATTTAAACAGTGTCAGATGATTATTCATGGTTTACAGATAAAATCTATTAACCTTTTTTTTGGTTGAGAGTATACTAAAAGTAGAGAGTTCAATTGAAAACTATTCATATGTAAACTAGTAAATTTCTTGTTTCATATAGATAAGAAAACAATTCAATTACTTAACAATCGTTCTCGTTTAAGACTCCCTAACAGTACATATTCACGATCCCATAAGAGATCGAATAAAAAGCCTTCAGTTTCTAGGGTTAGTGCTTAGAATTTAGACTACTGTTTTGGAATACAATAGTGTAAATGTCTAGCGTTAATCAGTTTACAATATTGCCAAATGATCTTTCATTATCTTGAGAAGAATAACTGTCTTGCATTAGAAATAGTTGAGCTCCACTAGTCATGGTTTCTCACTAGAACTCCAGGAATTCGGTGTTACTAGTAAGTACATGATTGATATTAGTACGGAAGATTTTGTGAAGATATTAGAATTTCCATAGCTTACATTGAACTAACTATTCAGTGCTACCTGGTTTTTAATGATTGTCTGGTTAAGATCAGTCCATGGTAAAAACTATGCAAATTCAACAATCTACACAAATTCCATCTTCTTACTAATAATCAAATTTTATTATCCACGACTACTAATACATATTTTATTAGGTGGCATTGTAGATAGAAAATGGAAAGAATTATGACACTGTGCTGTAGCTGTTTAAACCATACAATCTAAATTCGTTATGAGCAAATATGTTTGTCAAAAGAACCCTGTTTATCGACATTAAAAAGAGTTACAATAAAATTTCATATAAGCAAAGATGAATGGTGGCTAGCAGTGGGATCCAGCACGTAGGTTTCTTCTTATTTAGGACTTGTTGGCTGGATGTACCTGCATCTCAGAGCGGATGTCAACTCTGGGACTCGAACCCAGTACCGTTCGCTTCGATTGCCATCGCGTTATCTACCTAGCTATTGAGTCCTGATAGCCACTCACACCCCATCGTACAAGCGAGTGGCTGTCAGGACTCAGTCATTAAGTGGATAACACAATGGAGTTTGGAGCGAACGGTGCTGGGTTCGAGCCCTGGAGTGAACATCAACTCTGGTATGCAAGTATATCCAGCCAACGTGTCTTAAATAGGAAGAAACGCGCATCCTAGACTCCACTGCTAGCTAATATCCATCTTTGTTTATAATGCATGTGAATTAAGGTAATACGCACAGTATGCACATACGTCAATAAGAGACTGATCAATTGCAGTCCTAAATATCAATGGAAAGATCCAAGTAAACGATACCATGTGAATTAGAAATTTCATATAATTTTTCCCATTCATAAATTTTAATAAAGCAAGAATAATTATTGAAGCAGGATAATATGTATTCTTTATATTTCGTGGTTTCTCATCAGCAGCTTACAACTTAATCTTCAAAGATCAATCTACATACTTTTCGACATAATATCAGAAGAGTTATGAATTATGTTATAAAGTATGTACACTGATTTTTAATGATTAATACTACTTATATTTAAGTTGTAAGTAACTGATAAGGAACCGCGAAATATAAATAATTCATGTTATTCTGCTTCATTAATTATTCTTACTTAAGCCAATAAAATATGTTTGCTAATGATAAGAATAAAATGAAAACTAAGTGACATATAAAAAGGTATACTTTTTTATGTTAGTTGTAAGGCCAGTCTGACGTGCACATCTTTAATGTTATAACTAGCACATAAAATTGATTATCTTCATGCCTTATAAAGAACACTTTACCATTTAAAAAAAAACAATGTGTGGTTCATTGTTTTACAACTGAAAACGATTTAACATTATTATCTAGAATGAGTTGTTTGGATTGAGTTTACCACTTAAATATAAATAACAAATTCTCACTTCATGATATCCATCCCATTGTAACTTGTTATTATAGGGTTTTATTATCATTACTCAATGGAATAGTGATATTAAATTTATCAGAAAATCAGTTAGTTAAAGTATACAAGAATAAACAGTGAATACAATGAGAAAAGACTAGTCCTAGGTATGGTACCGATCCGGTGTTCAGTTAGATGAAGTGACGTTTCCAACCTAATTTAAAAATTTAACTTAACCCTTAATTATTGTATAAATGTAAAAATATAAACGTTTTACTTCATTTGTAAGGATTTTTATTTTCTCGTGATTAGTCTTAAGAACTGTAACTGACCAGCCAATTTTTGCTTAAATACATCTTGCGTAGATTGCCTTGATACTGTCATTTAGTCAAGAGGTTGGATAGTAGCTTACAGTAGAGTTCAGTAAGTGTGTTTTGTCCTATTTGGAACATTTTGGCTGAATTTACCTGTAACTCAATGTTGATATTTATAAAGAGGCTCGAAACATCTCACAGTTATTTTTTATCCTAGTTATTTTACCGTGACTCATGTTAAAATAACATTTTATCGAAATAATTTCTTGGTTATTCCTGAAGACTTTCAGAAATAGATGTGACTTTCAAAAACACCAAATAATTGAATGTTATCGATTTCGGAAATTGAACTAAATTAAAAAATCCATTGGAAAAAACGGAGGATATTGGGGAGCTATTTCTTACTGACATGGAACTCCCCTGATGTGCGCACCTACCGGGGCTCGAGCTCAAAGCCTTCGACCTCATACGGTAAACTCTTAAGCTTTAGACTACTGGAGCGGTACACAAAAGTATATATATATCTGATATGACGGGTTGAAAATGCAAAAAACAATTTTTTAACTCAATATGACTTTTGATTCAACATTACTTAAGTCATTAATTCAATTTATTGATTACTCTGTGTAATATTTGTTTTAATATCAGTGTGCTATTTGAGTTTGGTGTTTATTGAAGATACAATAATCTTTATATTAAATTAATGTGAATTATGTTCACTATGAAATGCAACATGAAATTTTGTTGTAATTTTATATATGTGACTAACTCTTAATTAATAATTAGGTGGGTGGACAAATCAATATATAAATGAGTGTATTTTCGACTATGATCATCTTGGTGTTTACGGGGTGAATAACTGTTTACTTGTGCAAGTTTTTTTTGTTCTTACTTCACGTCATAGGAATTGTAGTGACTCCTCGTGTTTCATGTATAAATAATCAGCGATGTGAAGATAAGAATACGCAACTTCGATGAATTCACAACCATCTCGTGTCTTTGTTGAGCAACTGGGTTCAATTCCCAGTGAGGCCGTGGGGAGCGCTTCTGATGAATCCTATATTATGATAAAATAACTATTCAATGAATATCAAACTTTGGTGATACCAATAACATCCATTAATCTTTATAAACCACTATGCTAACACCAAATAGTTTTTCTGACTTTGCGGAAATTTTTATGTATTTCTAAAGTTAATAACGTATATTTCATTCCAATATCGACTGCTCACATGATCGAATAGATTGATGACTAATGAAAAGCAAATTATTGTGCATTTTTCTGTTCGTCAATATGGATAGAATTCTACTGACAAAAACCTATTTCAAATGATATCGATCCGTCGAAATTAATGATCATTTTACAACTTGATCAACAAAATTCAAAGAATAGTAAAAAGAAGATATAACTATAACATTGATAAATATCAAATATTAGAAGGGGATATCAACTCATTGAAGACAATCGTGTACGGTGACGCAATCCCATGGATTGGTTGTAGTTAGACATTAACACCGTGGGATGCTGGCCAGCTCAATGGTTTAGTAGTTAAGCGCTAACACGCGAAAACGATAGGTCCTGGGTTCGAATCTCGCAGGATTGGGATCGTGGATGCGCACTGCTGAGAAGTCCCATACTAGGACGAAACAGCCATCCAGTGCTTTCAGGTTTTCTATGGTGGTCTAGCTTCAATTAACTCATAATTTCAACTATTGAAACATCAAATAGCACAAAATCAATTCACATTGCTTATTGCCAATCATCGACCGATCATCTAACACAATCAAATCTTACTTACTTACACTTGTTACTCCTCGTGAAGGAACATAGGATGCTCAGCAACATTCTCCATCTAACCCTGTCCTGAGCAATCCTTTCCAGCTCTTTCCAGTTGTTATTCATCAACCAAATCTAGATATCTTAAATGTTATAGTTATGATAAGATAAAATAACTCTCTGAATTTCTTTAAAATCTAATACCTATTTAAGAAATATGAATATACTTACGTAATCATAGAGATAAAGTAAATGAATTAAAACAAGTCACTATAATATACTATTTCATGAGAGAGAAAAAGAAAAAAGAAAACATCAATCTATGCTTAATAAATATTCATGTCATTCATAAGGTTTTCTTTTAAAAAGTAACCATAGTGTTAACTTTGAAAAATAATTTCACATTTTTTTTGGCACTAATTATCATTTTTAACAAAAACAAACAAACAAACAAACTTTCCAAATATGGATGTTGCGTCTTCTTTTCTTTTTTTTTAAAAAAAAAATGTAACATAAAACATTTGAACGATTTAAACAAATTTGTATTGATCAATAGAAGTACTTGTTTCTTTTCTTTTTTTAAAAAAAAAACTTGTCGTCAGTCATAATCGTCATAGTGATAATAATAAATATGAAAAGATATAGAAACTGAATTAGTTCATAACAAGAAATGAAGATAAATTTCTATCATAAATATTAACGACACTAATCATATATAGATTTTTTTGTTTATAAAAAAAAAGAAAAAGAAAAAAAAGAGCGCTTCTTTAAAAAGAAAAATTACGTATGATGTTATGTAGTTTGTTATTTTCAATGTTCAATAGATTAATTGAATTAACAATTTTCTATATATAATCCATAGAATTGTCAACTTTTGAATAAGCATGTGTAATTATTACACGTTTACGTAATCGATCACGTTCATCTGCACTAGTACTATTTAAATATTGTTCCACAGCATCAGCTTCTGTAGATTCATGTGATAGAGCATAAATAATTGTGACTTTATTAGTTTTTAATTTATTCATACTATTAGAATGATGAATTTCATGATTATTAATAAATGATTGAGAATTTATTTTATTGTTAGTAATCATATCAGTATTATATAATGGATCTGGTAATTTTGTTTTAATCTCTTTATCATGATTATATGAAGTTTGTTTAGTACCATTTTGAATTGTATTATTATTATTGATTTGGTCAATATGATGTAGATCATGTTTAGCATCATTTAATACAGAATTATTATGATCAATTGAATGATGAGGTGTAATCATTGAAGAATTTATTGAAGTATTCATCAGTTGATCTTGTTTAATATTGTTATTATCATATTCATGGACAACTAGTTCTGGTGTTTTATCACGTAGATTAGATGAACTAATATTTATTTGATTAGTTGATTCTTGTTTACTTTTATCAATGGATAAACGTTTAAAGATTGGATTAGATGAACTTTGTGTCGTTGATTCACGTCTTGTTTCTAAATAAATTTCTGATGATGTTGGTGGATCTAATTCAGCTAATTGATAAATTTTTCGTAAATCTTCAATTAATCTATCTTCTGTATAACCAGATGTACCTTTGAATAAATCATTACGTAATTCTTTTGCTGTAGTCGAATTTTGCATTGATTCAATTAAAGGCTATTAATAAAAAAAGGAAGTAAGACAAATCTGTTAGTATACGGTTGCGAAGATTGTTGAGCTTCATTGAAATTATGAATTAATCTAAGTTAGAAAACTGTTGAAAACCTGAGAGCACTACATGGCCGTTTCAAACAGCCGTTAAGTCACTAATAGGAAGAAACACGTGTCATGGATTCCAGTGCTAACCAAAATCCAACTTGCTTAAAAATGCTAATGACTCAATAGGGATATCGAGTCAATTCCCGCAGTATTCATATATACCAAGAAAGAGACTGATTAATTTCAGTCCTAAACATCAGTGGGGATATTCAAACAACCGATAGTAAGGAATCTCAATAGTATGTAAAATTTCAGTAATATAACGATTCCAATTCATTTGCGCATTATGTAAGTCAGTGATAAATTATCACCTGAAGAATTACCTTAAAAACAATTTATTTTAGCAAGGATTCTAGGATACAATTAACTTAGTGACTTTACGGGTTTGTATTTCCATATTATTAACTAATAAGGACTGAAATTGATCCGTTCCTAATGAAAGATGTATATCCTGGGTGAGTGCCTTAAAATACCACTAAATCACAGGTTTAAGTTAGGTTGTATAGTGTCTAGCAGTGAAGTCGAGGGAGAACGTTTTGTCGTATTTATCTTTCGTCAGATAGATGTACATGTATCCGTGATGATCTGATTCAAACCCAGTTTCTGTCACTTCGAAAGCCAACTCATCATCTACTGAGAAACTAAGTTCAGATTGCAACAAACTTGCTTAACGCATGATAAATTATCTATAAGTGTTTGAGTTACCTTACTATTGATATTAATGATTGTAATTGATCAATCTCTTTTGCTATATGTATATCTTTCGAGAGAATTAACTCAATGTTGACAATTACTTACAAGCTAAATTCGTCTTTGTTATTATTGACATCATCAAATACTGAACATTCATTCGATTTATAGCACATTATTATATTTACTGACGTTTCTCAGTAAATTTTAATCATATTTCACCTAAAAGCTGTATGTTTGCTAACTACATATAGTTATTTGGCGTCACAACACGTTTATAACCTATCGCGAATCTAATTACTGGAAAAAACTCAAGAAGTATCACCTCAGTAGTTTATTTATTTTCCTCCTTTTTATTTGTTGTTTGAAGGAACAAGAGAGGATTCCTATAGAATGTTTACATTCAATTAATCACCTATGGAAAGATTCCATAGTAACAAGATTCGCTATAAACAATTACGGATGAACATAAATAGTAGTTAATCATTGCTAAAAACCTTCTGATGCATATTGTTTTTAAGTATTCACAAATTAAAAGCTGAAAAAGTTAACTATTTTATTGCAATACTCCAAATCTTCTGCTAAGAATTTGTTATTGTGATCGAACTTAAGATTGAAGTTCAAGACCCCACATACAGAATCGTGAAAAAAACAAGTTTTTAAGTGATCTTTGAAAAAAAGCATCGTTTGTTCGATAAGAAATTATCAAGAATATTGTATATTCACTGTAAATTGATTCACTAAAGACAATGGATTAATTATCATAATTTCTATTCATAGGCCTATTTCTTTTTCCACGGGAGTTATCTGTAAATTACAATTAGGAAGTTATGCTATTTATACAACACTAGTGTATTAGTTTAATACCATAATTTACTAAGGATAAGTAATTGATTAATCGATCATCAGTATATTCAGTGATTGAAGGGGATGATAGAAATCACGAAAACATTTTTTCTATTCCCAATTTTGATTTGTACTACTCCGTATTCAGGGATAATAATCCTATTGGATAATTTATTTTATTCTTGAACTAATCAACATAAATCATTCAATCAGTTTTCATTTGTAACTTTAAGTTAATTAATATTAAACAATCATTTGTAATGACTTAGTATTAATTAGCTTTTTATTAACCTCTGTCTTTATTGAATTTCTTTGAAATTTACATATATTCATAGATTTATTATGTTTTATGTGGCTCCAAATTAAGAATAGATACATAGACATTTTGATGGAGTTTTGTTCTCTAAGCTGGATGAACCAAACCATCCACTACAGAGAACAAAACTTCATCAAAATCATCCACCTGAGCTACAAATCTTCTCTACCATCTCACAGAGACATTTAAAACACTACAAATTTAACAGTACTGTTTAGTATATATAAATGTTACATCATAAATGTATGAAATTCTATAAATATGTTAGCTTACGTCATATTCATTAGTAATATCTAATTTTTCTCTACATTTCATAACAGCTTTACGAGTTAATTTTACAGGTAATCCACTTAAGATAGAGAAATATGCGACAATAAAAGCTGCAGCTTCATGATTGTTAGGTTCCCTAGTAAAACAGAAAAGATCACAAAGATAAATTATTAAAGCATACTCATATTATTACTATTATTTTTATTGAGAACAATGCTTACTTATTAGTATAATAAGTTTGTGAATGTTTATAGTTTTGATCAAGAACTAATCTTAGTAGATGATTATCAAGAATTAGAAAATATAAGACAACTGTTTTGTTCTAGTAAAAGATTACTCAGCAGTACATGTCAACCACTAACAAGAGATGAAATCCGAGGTTTTCAGGTCTAACGTCGAGCTTTCAACCTCTAAACTACTGAACTAGTTGGTTGAGGGCTTACTGTGAGACAGAAGGTCTTGAGCTCAATACCGAGTATGGTAGGGGATGAACACTGCTGAGAGGTCCCACACTGGGATGAAACAGCTACTCAGTGCTACCTGGTTCTTAGTGGTTTTTTAGTCAATATTAATTTGCAATCCAAACTATGAATGTATTTTCTTAATGAAGTAACTTCTGACATCTTAATTTACACAGTCTGTGATGCAATTAAGATGTTTGTCCATAAAGTCTGTCATTAAAATTCTTCAATTATCTGAAGAAACAAATACGAGAAGGATGAAATGCAAGTGAATTTACTGATAGATATCTGTTAATTCTAGTAATGCTTAGTCATTTAGTAATCTACATCAATAAGGGTTAGTACTCCTCCTTTTTTGTTGTCAAGTAACCCAAAATATATGAGGGGTGGTTTATTCAGCTGAGATTGTGAAGATAAGGAAAATCACTGACGATTAATCTCATCTTCTTGCTTATAAGTAGCGATACAATTTCAACACTGCTTTATTAGATTATTCTATTAATTAAATACCACAAAATCTTGGTGAATCCTTAGTGATAACAGTCTGTGATTAATCCAAACACATTGTATTTTAATGGATCAATTATTGAATTATACATTATAAAAAGATAAATACAGACTATAGAACGTTCGCTTCGTTATTTTGTTTTCATACAATATTTTATTGGAATTCCATGAAAATTTCTAGATGATATTATTAGAAACCAGAAATGAGTGTGAACATTCCATTCAACTAGCATACACTATGAAAACTTCTAGAAAATTAACGAATAATGTGTCAAACTCTATTTGGTTGGTAAACTACTTTACTAATTAGATTAAAATGTCTCCACAATTCAAAGGTCATGGATAAACTTATAAATACTATTGTTTTCTGTACATAAATAAACCTTGAATTAAAGCTTTTTATATTTGCTTAACATCTATTCCACAGAGATCAAGTATAAATAAACACTTAAGATCTAGAAAGTGAATAGAAAATCAATATTATTATTATTTATTATTTGAATAAATAGATATTGGTACAAGGAGGCACCAAATACATATGCGGCACACAAATTTCATTTGATTTGTGTGAGGGCTGGGATATTGCTCGGGTGCCCAAACCGAAGTAGGTGGTTTTCTTAGGGGGCCACACCCCGAGCCTTCGACCTAAAGGTCTGATCCACAAGGCAGTGGAGCATCGTAAGGAGATGCAGTCCCATGGTAGCAAGTGACCAACAGTTGGTTCATATGCCATTTGTTCCCTCAGGACCATGTAGCCCATGTGTAACATTGGATTGGAATCAGGGTTTTCTAACTCCTCTAGGTGAACTCTTCATGTCCACAAACCCGGTTAAAGAGTCGGACATTCACTTTTCGTCCTCTCGATTTCGTAAACAACACCCCCGCTACGAGAAGGCAGTGAGTAGGACTTCCTGGCAGAGGCTATATAAGCGTGACCATGTGAGAGCTTTTCGAGAGAGGGAGTGGACTTTCCCCACTCTTGGCTGTACCAGGGCATTTAAGGGTAGAAAATATATCACTTTATTTAAATTTCGTTCTTATTTATGTATTTGAACACATAAATACTGGTACAAGGGGGCACCAGATACATATGCGCCACAAGAAATCTCATTTAATTTGTGTGAGGGCTGTGATACTGCCCGGGTGCCTAAACCGAAGTAGGTATATCTATTTAAATAGAACTAAGAGTAGTATAAACAGATTTGAATCAGTGATTTAAACAAAATCTAGTTAGCAAATTATCTGAAAATCTCATGTTTTTTTTAGAAAAAAAATGTAATAAGAAATTGTTAAACTTATGAAAAGATAAAAAACAATCAAGATACACCACCACCAACAACAACAGCAACAACAAAGAGGTGAATATTTAAATAAACGTAAATTGTCATGATGATACATTCGATAAATAAGTTCTGATGAACTTCACCTTGTCAATAGATTATCATCAAAGTGTTCAATGTATTATAATAAGAAACATTGAATAAATACAAGAAATAAAATTTTCAAAATAATTAAAATAGTTGAAAGGATTCATAAAACAAACAAAAAAGATCATAGATAATATAATTTTACCGATTAATCTTAAATTTATTACATGGATAAATGAAGAAAAAGATAGAGAGTAGGATTTATTATGTATACATACTACTTATTTGATAATGTTACAATAGTATTTATTTAATATGCTAATGAGTATAAAACTGGTTTAGTGAAATGATATATAATATGTTATGTGAAATTTAGTTAAAGTTGTAGTTAGGATTATCATTTGTCTAATATGCATAGTCAGTGTATAGGGGTTGTGGATTATATTAAGTTTTCGATTGAGATCATGAATTGATTGATGTTAGACCACCATTGAAAACCTGGAAGCACCAGATGGTTGTTTCACCCTATTGTGGGACTTCTCAACAGTGCACATCCGTGGATTGGCTCAGATTAGACATTAACGCCGTTGGATGCCAACTACTGGTCTAGAGGTTAAGCTTTCGCGCGCAATACTCAGGGCCCTGGGTTCGAAACCCGTCGGCGGGATCGAAGATGAGCACTGCTGAGGCGTCCCATAATAGGACGAAACAGCCATCTAAGTTTTCAATGGTGGTCTAACATCAACCAGTTCATGATCTCAATCAAAAACTAAATGTGCATATATATATATATATATATATATATATATATATATATATATATATTCACATTTAGATAAATACTTCGAAGACAATTTGCTTCATAAAAACTGTTATCTGTTGAAGAACAATTAAATACCAAGGGCCAGTTGACAAGTATTTCATCCGTAAGAAATAAACATTCATCTATTTATCTAGGCTCAAAGTTGTCATCTTTAAGTCAATCAAATTTGAAAAGAGATAGTAGTTACCTACTGAGAATATTGGATGAGCATTGTGATATATTGTTAGCTTACAACTAACCAGCTGACCTAATAACTTAGTAATAATGTCTCAGACTATGAAGCTAAATGATAAAGGTTAGAGATTCTCAGAGGACATTAATTCCTTCAAGATTTCAGGTAGACCATAATGACTAATATCAACTAACATGGAAATCAGGATCAGTGAAGCTTTCTAACACCACCCACATAACATATTTCTGACTTTTTGAAAATAAACCTTTATATCCCTCAAATCTGACTTAGTGACTAAATTTGATCATATTGACTGTATGAATAAAAGGTGATTGGTTCACTCTCATGTGAACTCATAAGTTCATATTACTAAGGTGTTCTAAAATGACAACTAGGGAATTGCTAAGTGTCACATCTTATGGAAATCTGTTAATAGAACTATCTACAAATAAAATATGCTTCAATTAATAATTAATTTTAATGCATTAAAATTTATTACAATTTTAATTTAAAACAATTTCTTTGATATGTATTTCTGTATAACAATTGACAATTGAAATGATCCTTAAAAATGAAACTCATCTATTTATTATACAAAATTAATCATTGTCAGATCATTAACTATATTCAATAGAATCGAATAGTTTAATTCAAATAAAGTGTAATACAAGAATGTGTACAAAAGTATCTTCAAAAGGAGTAAGTTATCATGTTAATACATTTGTTGATTGCATATATATGTGCACGCATGCACACATACACACACACACAAGAGTACATAAAGAAACCTACATGATTGGTTATGATATCTCGCATAGTCAAGATTATATGAACACAACATTATAATAAATATGTTATTATTTTTAAACGATGATTGCTTTGATCTCGCATTTTATCTATATAAGTTAAATCTTTTCTTTTTTATTGACAAAATCTTAATTTCTATGATCTTGAAAATAATTTAAAGGGGAATCCAAGATTGTTTTTCGTGAGTGTATTCACTTATCATTACATGGAGTGTGTTATAGAAATATGACATGATCTTCAATTGTCTTTGGTTTAGTAGCCAAACTAGGAATTGTTTCAGCATAAGAATGAGTTAGTTCTTCAATTATGAATTAGAAAATCAACTCATTTACATCGTTGGCTGTATAAATATGTAGTGTCAGTTATTATATTAAGCCCATATACCTTATTCTAGCTTTCGGACATTCCATTCTATTCATTCTACTTCAGTCATATTTTGATCTTGTCAATTTATTTCTGTTCAGTATGAATATTCAAATGTTTTTGGCAGTTAGAATCTCCAACCAATCTTCATTTATGAAAGTGTTTAGCCACTTTAACTGTTAAACCTAATGTTTTCGTTCACATTGTATCGGATACCTGAATTTTAATAAATTTATCCCTCTTTCTTTCAAAGAATAGAGTAAAAGGTGAAGATACTAAAAATAAAAATTTTGTACTTCAGTTTTTACAGTATTTAGCGTCAAAATGAATTGTAACCTCTTATAATCAATACCATTTAAGTAAATACATGTAGCCATCAATACTAAGTACTCAGTAAAAATAAACCTCAAACAGGTGAAGAGTATTTGTGATATTGACACTTGGAAAATAGAGACATGTTGTCAAGTATACAACCAGTAGGTCAGTTTGAGGATCATTTTTAATTTTAACTAATGTCAGTTATATACACGATCAGTGAAAACAATGAAGCCTAAGATTACTTGTAAATATTCACCTACAACATAACATAAGATTTAATCTAGGAATTTCAAGTTTAGTAACAGGCACAATACTTTC